GCCACGGGGTTGACGGCAGGGATTTGGTGCCTAAGATCTGAGTCCCTGGCCCGGAAGGAAGAGTGAGGTGCGGGGGTGCCTGTGCAGGGATGGGGCTCATGGACACGGGCGAGAAGGCAGAGCCCCACTACAGGTCGGAGTGTGGGGGAGAATCATCCAGGGTCTCCCTCCTCCTGAGGGCACCCACGTGCCCCCTGAGTACCATCTCGGGTGGGTCCTGGGCGCAGCCGATGGGACCAGCGAGGCATCAGTCAGACCCACCACCCCTGCCTGGAGGCTCGGATTCTCCATCTGAGAGGGGGTCCCTGCAGGGATGAGGCCAGGCAACGGCCAGCCTCACCCCAAGACTGGCTCGGGTTCTTGACTACACACACCCATTGCACCCTCATTGCGCACCCATCATATTCATGCCGCAAAGCAGCTGCACCCTGTACCCTGGGGCCACATAGACGCGGCGCTCGGCTCAAGACTCAGAAAATGAGCAAAGAAACGCTGTTTTGTTGCGGCTGTGGATTCTAATGAGACGGCCTTGTTGCGGGACCGTGCACGCCCGGGTGGTGCCATGGTGCCAACCAAGGGGTTTCAGGGGCCGGAGACACTGCTCCGGGCCAAGGTCCTTCCCGTTTTCCGAATGTCACTTAGCTTAGATGTCAGCTTAGATGGCTCCTCGCTTGGTGCCAAGCCCACTGTCTTTTATTGTCCTTTGCTGTCGTCGGCATCACCCCATGCATCTCCTCAAGTCTGGACTTTCAAGGACATCGGAAGCCACTTCTCTCGGAGATTTGGGTCCCCTAGTGTCATTAGTGGCCGAAAATAGTGGCGCTCTTGTGAAAGAGCCCTGTGACGCCTACCACAATCACTACCTTTGTGTTACGTTGGGACGTGGCCCTGGGAAGAACCTCCAAGTAGCATTAGGGTGTTCTAAACTTGCTAGTTCTAGCCAGGGCGAGGGGGGGGGGGTTTGTGTCAGCCCTGGTGGTCTCAGGGACACGTTTTAGGAAATGCCGTGTTATCAGGCTTCTGACCCTGAAACCTGCTCCTTCCTCAGGGCAGGCTGAGTGCAGAGCCACCAAGAGCTTTAATTCCACTTTAATCAGATTCCATTCCATAGAAGCCTCCCTTAATGAGGGTTAATGACATTAATTACTGTCCCCTTCACTTAAGAACATGCTCAAGAGGAGCTAAATGTCACATAATGGCCCAGGAATAGCTCAGGCCCCAGCAGAACTCCCCAGAAGAGCCTATCGCTCTTCTTTCTGCCAGCCCCACCACCCTCCACCCCACACACCTCTCTTTCCCCGTCTTCACATCATTTCTCCCATGTCTCTGTCAGTTAGAAATGGGAGATTGCACATTGCTGCATCATCTTTCCCAAGGACTTGGGATTTTATGCACTGACCACTGAAAGGATCATAGTTTGGTAGCATGCCTGGTGCATGACAGCATAATGGGCACTCCCCTGCAGGACAGGTGTGCTACACGCCGCTTTCTTTCTTTTTTTTTTTTTTTAAGATTTAATTTATTTATGAGAGAGAGAGAGAGAGAGAGAGAGAGAGAAAGAAAGCATGAGCAGGGTGGGGAGTGGAGGGAGGGGCACGGAGGGGTGAGCAGGGAGCCCCATGCGGGACTCAATCCCAGGACTCCAGGATCATGGCCTGAGCCAAAGGCAGAAACTTAACCAGCTGAGCCATCCAGACGCCCCTGGGCATCTCTTTCAAGGGCAACCTGGTGAGAGATACTCATTTAAGTGCACAGGTAATTTGATCCAGTAATGTCTCTTCTAAAAATTTATCCCACAAATTTTTCCCCCCATATATATTGAGAAAGAAGAGTATATAAATGTGGTCATTGTGGCACTCATGGAACAGTAAAAGGGTGGACATCATCTAAATGTCTGTTGGAGACTAGTTATGCTGTATAAATAATTATGCTATATTCTATCTATCTATCTATCTATCTATCCATCTATCTATCTATCTATCATCTATCCATCAATGTAAATTATGCTAGATCCATAAAGTGGGGCATTCTGTAGCTGACATAAAATGAGGCTGATTTATATGTGTTAATATAAAATAATACCTAAGGTATATTATTAAGTCAAAAAAGAAAGGGGGTAAACCTATATATGTGTGATATATAATCATTTGTGTAAAAAAAAGTGGAGTATATGTATGTGTGAGCAAATATGCACATATCTTCACATCTCCTGCCACACATCCAAAGCAGGAGCTGTGGGGTGAATACCACCTGTGCTGGGTTGCAGCATGGCAGGCTCCCGTGGAATTGGTCGCTGTGTACGGGGGGAGGGGGCTGTCTGTTTGTGCAGAGCAGAGAGCATCTATGAGCTCGCTGGGGTGGGAGGCAGCACCGTTGTTCTTGGGAACCAGGAGACGGAGCTGGCTGAGTCAAGCCACGGGGAACTCAAGAGAAAATCTAGCGCTGTGAGCCAGCACTGGGAGGAGATGGTGTGACCAGGGGAGGCCATGTCTCAATGTGAGGGCGCCATGAGGCAGGGGGCATTGGGATGATAGGCAGGGTCTCCTTACCAATTACTCTGAAGCTGGACTATTCGATGTATTAGTCGCCCAAACCACATGAAGCTATTTAAATTAGCATTATATAAAAATTCCAGTTCCCATTTGGACCAGCCACATTTCGAGTGCTTAGCAGCCCATGTAGACTGTTGGCTACTGCTGTGGGTGAGCACCAACGCGGACCACCATCTTGATCATTGTGGGAAATCCTCCTGGATGGCGGCTGCCGGAATGCACACGTATCTGTTACACTTCTGCCTTTTAATTATTGTTTGGTAAGCTTCAGCAGCACAGGTTTGTATGAGTTCTGACCAAGTGTGCTTGTCATTAAACGAAGACCACGTTCCATGGTCCTCTCTGCCTGTTACATGTTAATACTGGTTATTTCTTTATGATTCTCATGATTTTCATTTCATTTATTTATTTATTTGTTTGTTTATTTATTTATTTAAAAATATTTTATCTATTCATGAGAGAGAGAGAGAGAGAGAAGCAGAGATATAGGCAGAGGGAGAAGCAGGCTCCATGCAGGGAGCCCGATGTGGGACTCGATCCCCGGACTCCAGGATCACGCCCTGAGCCGAAGGCAGATGCTTAACCACTGAGCCACCTGGGCGGCCCATGATTTTCATTTCTTGACAATGCAGGCCCTACTCTTTTGTAATGAGCATCAAATGCTAGAGCCTTCAAGTCTCTTCTTGGGCCATAACCAGTCTGGTTCCCTTGCTATGTGATAGGAAGGGTCTCGGTCCCACTGACCAGGACACACGGGGTGGGAAGTCTGCCCATCTCTCAAGCTACTTTGGGCCTTGATCAGATGCAGTCTGAAGTGAGTAAGTGGGGCGGGGTGCAGGCCCGCCGTCTGTAAAAACCTGGGTCCTTAGGGGAAAGGAGGCAAGTCTGAGGCAGGACAGTCTGAAAACTGAGGTCATGTACAAAGGCAGACTCAGGAGATTGCCTTCGGGTGTGTGCAGAGCACATCCCCATCATGCGGGCCTGAGTCTGTCTCTCCCCATCCTGATCTGTGCCTGTCCCCCATGCAGACACAGGCTGAGGGGGATGTGCTGGTGGCCAGAAGACACCTGGAAAGCACACATGGTCTGGGGTACTGAAGAGCTAACCTACTGAATATCCAAGAAAACCCAGAGAAGACTGTAGCTCAGTCTACAGGAGATTCTACAACCTTCGGTGGTGTGACCCAAACTGTCAGTTAGGATATTCTTAAATTTCAGATGAAATTCAGTGTATGTCTGGGGGCACCTGGGTGGTGTAGTTAGTTGAGCCTCTGACTCCTGGTTTCGGCTCAGGTCATTATCTCAGGGTTGTGAGATTGAGCCCCGCCTGGGGCTCTATGCTCAGTGGGGAGTCTGCTGGAGATAATCTCTCCCCCTCCCTCCCTCTGTTCGTGCTCTCTCTCTAAAATAAATACGTAATCTCAAGAAAAATAAATATATTTAGTTTAAGTCTGCTTCCTCTGATGGCGTTCTCACCACAACGTGGACACAGGTTACTTATCATCTTCCACCAAACTTTCATATCCATACCAAATGTAAATTTATCTTTTTGACTCTTATTTTTCTATTCCTTAGTCTCGTTTTCACTTAGCATTTCTTCTTCATTCGGGCTTCCTCTTCTCCACATTGACCTATGTTTATGTGATACTTTTCATCTGGCCATTGGCATGTCCATGTTCCAATGCTTCTCAAGAGCACCAAGCTGGGAGGGAGGATGACTTCAGTCCTGCTGTCCCAGGTGTCCACTGTGTGACCCTGGACCTATGTTCAACCATCTTCAAAGTCAGAAGATTAATAAATAGTTATTTTTTTTAAGTAGGCTGCACACCCAGTGTGGAGCCCAACATGGGGCTTGAACTCACAACCCTGAGATCAAGACCTGAGTTGAGATCAAGAGTCAAGTGCTCAATTAACAGAGCCCCTCAGGAGCCCCCAAACTCATTAATTTTAAACACCTTTTTTAAGCTCCACAACTGAATTACTGAGTCAGTTCAAAGACAACAGTTTTTATTCCATTATATAAAATATATTAATAGAGCAAAGAATTAATGTATTAAAATATGTGCAAGAGAATATACAGTATATATGGATTAATGAAAAGCCGGAGTGCTGGTGACAGACTCGTTACTTACTAGTTGTCAAATTAGAGTAGTTTTTATCGCATCTGAAATTTGGCGACTAGGACTGATGAGATGGAAAGATTGTGTGTGGAGTGGATTTTGGTTACACACAAACTTTACGCAGTTTGAGCAATAATTACAAACTCTAGAAACAATGGTGAGGGTCATCGAACTTGGTGCACAGCCCACTAAAGAGCTGAGTGAAGGGGCTGACGAGCTCCGGGTGTCGGCCTGAGTCTTCTTCAGACAGGCAATGGTGAGCCTTCTCCCCGGCGAGTCAGGACCACCTCCATCCCTGAGACACTCAAGGATGGTTCCTCAGAAAGGCATTACTTTTTCTTCTTCTCCTTTTTTCCCTTCTTTTCCTTCTTTTTCCCTTTTTCCTTTTCCTTTTCAATGTTCCCTTCTGTTAGCGCCAAGGCTCGCTTTTTACCCATAGGGGTTTTGGCATACCAGTCCTGAAATAAAACATATGTTTAGGAAAATATCAAAATGGCACAAATTCACTGGAATATTCTTTAAAAGAAAGAAAAGCTTGATAAGAAGGAAGGGGCAAACAGCCATTAAACTTTGGACGTTTAATGTATATTTAGTACACATTCTTTCTCAAGGCGTTTTCCAACCTGTATTTTGACACAACTTGAAATTTCCACCCCAAGAAGTGTACAGTTTCAGAGGATCACAGGCCAAATCTAATCAGCTCAACTAAGTCACCTATCTTTTTAGAGAATCTTCCTGAGGGCATGGGCTTTCTTGTGAATAACACTCTGTGGTTCACACACGGCCACCAGAAGCTGGACTGGTGGCCATGTGGGAACCATGGAAGGCCACACAAACACTGAGAGGGGGACTGTCGAAAACATGCAGCCAATATACCAATAAAGCACTTTGTGGTTACAACTGGTGCTGTGAATGCATTTTTTTTCAACCTTCACTTTTCATTTGAAAGCTGAGAAACATTTTAGTGTACAAACTTCATAGTAGTAATCATATCTCACTGAATGACTATACTACAAGTTGTTTGTCAATTCTATTAATGGGCATATAGACCATTGCCAACTTTTCATTAGGAACAGTGGTGAAATTCATAATTCGTACATATCTCTTTGCATACTTATGAGAAAACTTCTCTAGGGCATATATGTAGAATTCCTGGTAGGTAGGGCATGAGCATCTTCAATTTTACTGGATATTTCTGAATTGATCTGACAGAGAGGCTAGCTTAGTCTTCATAAGTCTTAAAATGTCTTTATTGTCTCCTGTCTCTTGGGTGCTAGTTTAGTTGGGCATAAATGTTAGGTACACAGTTACTGTTCTTCAGCATTTTGCAGAAATGATCCCATTGTCTTATGGAAATAGATTGCTGTCAAAGAGCTGCCTGGCCTCCCACTGGTGTTTGGAAGTTGGCAACTCCCAAACAACATCCTTGTTTGTTGGCAATCTGGCATCTTTGAAGACTGGCTTGTTATCTTATTCTTAGGTTCACAATAATGTATGTGCGTGTGGATTTATTTTTATTTGTTCTGCTGGTCACTTGGAGTTCATTTTTACTCTAAGAACTCATGTCTTTAATTCAAGAAAAGTTTCAGCAAATATTTCTTCAAATAATTGTTCCTCTGACATTTCTTTTTTTCTCTTCTAGAACTTCTAAAAGTTAGATGTCAATGTCTTCAAAGCTTCTTAATTGCAGTTTATAGATTTTGTCTTCTTATTTTTCTGTGCTGCCTTGGGAGGGAGCATCCTCCAGTCCATGAATTTGCTCTTTGACCATGCATGTCTAGTCTAAACATCTTACCTCTTTTATTTTTTGCCATTTTAAGTTAACTACTGTATATTTAGTTTCTAAGCTTTCTTTTTGTGATTTTTCCCCCAGTAATTATGTCTTCTTATTCCACTTCTGCCTGTCTTTGTTTCAAAACTTTGTGTACATCTCTATTGGAAATGATGCCTTCTGACAATCATCATATGGTTTCACTCAGACGTGGACTATAAGAAATAGTGAAAGGGATTATAAGGGAAAGGAGGGGAACTGAGTGGGGAAAATTAGGGAAGGAGACAAACCATGAGACTCTAACTCTGGGAAACACACAAAGGGTTGTGGAAGGGGAGGTGGGCAGGGGGATGGGGTCACTGGGTGACGGGCACTGAGGAGGTCATGTGATGGGATGAGCACTGGTGTTAGATTATATGTTGGCAAATTGAATTTAAATAAAAAAATTTTTAAAAAAGGAAATGATGCCTTCATTTATTTTTTTGAACATCTGAATTATATTAATTTAAACATCTTTGCCAGGTTGTACTTAGCACTAGGTTTCCTAAAATGTCTTGGGATTTTTATTTTCAGGTTCCTTTTGAGTAGGAAGCTCTGTTGTGGTCTCGATCTCTCTCATTATTTCTCCCTCCCTCACAGTACTGCAGCTGCTTCTACACAATCCTCTAAAGCCAAATCCAGAAGCACCTCTTGTAATGATGTTTTGAAGTGAATGCTCCTTGGTGATGTCGACATACCACAGATCCGGTCACAGAAGCAGCAGGTATTGCCACTTTATCTTCCCTGGCCCCTAGTCTCTTTTTGTTTCCTAGCTCTGACTTTTCTCTGTGCTGCATGCCAGGCACATTGGTTGTCCCTGTGTTTGAGATTTACCTTTGGTTCTGGTACTTGGGGATTTTTCTCATCTTTCCTTTCACTTTGGCTCTGTTTTCAATGTAAGGTGAGGTGGCCAAGGACTTAGGTGATGAACTTCTAATTTATTGAGACACAGTATAGAATACAGGTAATAAAATTGTCTTTGGACTATGGTTTGAATTTCAGTTCTGCTCCTTTTAGCTGTGTGACTAGGAGCAAGTCACTTTGCCTCCCCCCACCTTTTTTTTCTGCTGTAGCAAATTACCACGAACTTAGTGATATAAAAGAAAACATTTATTATCTCACAGTTCTGAAGGTCAGAAGTCCAAAATGGCCTAAATCTTGGTGTCTGCGGGCTATCTTCCTTTCTGGAACTCCAGGGGAGATGCATTCCCTCATCCTTTGCACTTTCCTGAGGCCACCTGTTCTCTGGGCTTGGGGCCCCTTCTTCATCTTCAAGCTAGCAACACGGGGTTACTTGGAATACCAATGCATCCTTCCCATGCTGCTAACTTTCTGGTTCTCTCTCCTGAGTCCCTCTTTCACTTTTTATGATTATTTTAGACTCACCAGTATAAGTAAGGGTAATCTGTTTTAGGTTCAGTGGATTAACAACCCTACTCTATTTGCAACCTTAACTCCCCTTTGTCATGTAATGTAACATATTTACAGGTTCTAAGCACTGGGATGTAGACACCGTTGTGAGGCCATTATTCTGCCTACCATATCTTTTTATGTCTCAATTTCCTCAACTGTAAAATAGGGGGATTATGAGGTTTAAATGAATTATAACAGAGTGCCCGGCACATAAATAGTCAATAAGTATTAGCTAACATTATTATGATTATTACCATCATTACCCTTAAATATTTTCTCCATCATGTCTACGGAATAGGGTACAACGTGTTCGGAGAAAATCTCTAAGATCCCAGTGTGACACATTGTCAGAAGCACAGTTAGGTCAAATTTCTCAGGGCATAAATGATTGGCCTGATCACAAGCAACTATAGCCACAGAGTCACATTATTTCCTGGTGTGACAGTGTCAGTCCATCTCTCCATCTGCTCAATAAATTTGCCACTAAAAAAGGTTATTGAACATCGAGTTGGGGCCAGGTGCTGTGCCAAGCTCTGGAGCTACAATAAGCAGAAATTGATGAGGGGAGAGGGCTAGTAGTGATGGTGGAAAAATGATTTAGTTTCCTTAAAAAAAAAGAAAAATGATCAAATATGCCAAGAATGGAAGTGAGAAGCATATATGTTCTCATCTCAGGTTATTCAGGGTAGCATTTCCTTTGCTTGAATAGTGTGATCAGCTATAGTTACTGGACCACAAAGTACCCATGACAGAAAAACTTCTACAAATCACTTTGGAAAGTTAAAAATCCAGCTAAGAGAAAGCACAGGTTTTAAAACTCTAAACCTAGCTCCTCAGAATAGGGAGGAAAATGATTATTCCAAAGAAAAAAATTGGGAATTTCAGAAAAGAATAGGATATATTGCATGAAGAGGATAAATATTTGCAATGAATTTTAACAAGGTTTCAACATTTAACAAGAACGTTAATTCAAATCCTTGGCAGAAACTCCATCTTGATTTGGGAAATTTCTTTGCAGTTTTGCTAGAGCTCGGGTCAACAAAACTATAGCTGATGGGCCAAATCTGGCCCGCTGCCTATTTTTGTAAATAAAGTTTTATTAGGATGCAGCCACGTCCATTCATTGACATACTGTGCGTGAATGCTTTTGTGCTGTGATACAGGATTGAATAGTTGTGACAGAGACTGTGGAGCTCTCAAAGCCTAAAATATTTGGTATTTGGCTCTTTATGGAAAAGACTGCAAACCCCATGCTAGGTTATTATTTCAGGGATCAGCATGACTCTTTTCCACCTTGTACTGAAAAATTAGTGGCAAAGCAGGAGGGAAACACGGTATTTAGAGTTGATGGAAAAGTAATACATTGCAGAGGGAAATTTTCCTAATCTCAAGCAGACTTGCAGGCACACGAGGTTTAGACAAGAATGTTGATTCTTTTTCTGATGATTGCATGGCCAATGTTGTGGTGGGTATAATTGCACGGATAGAATTTTCCTTCCCTTGTTTTCCCAGTTGGCCAAGGAAACTGCCTCCAGGTCCAGAAAGTGAACACAACCATATTCATTTTGATTGGAAAGAGTGTGAGGCGTGCCCGCTGGCCTGGGCATCTAGGGCTCTAATGTAGATTTGCTTGGATAAGGCACATAGCTCTCTGCAACTTATTTTCCTCCTGTAAAAGAGGGATTTGGAAAAGCTGGTTCTTGGTTTCCTCTGGATCTAAAAAATTCTACAAACATTACAAAAATGTATTAACAAATTAGAGAAACTTAAACTTTGATGAGTTCTCTTGTGATTTCCTACCGTAAGTACGCTGAAAAAAATGAAGCATGCCACAGCAAATATGGGACAAAACCACCACGGGCTTGAAATACACTACTTAGGGAATGGTTTTCTTTTAAAGATTTTATTTATTTATTCATGAGAGACACACAGGGATATTCAGAGACACAGGCAGAGGGAGAAGCAGGCTCCCTGTGGGGAGCCTGATATGTGAGTCGATCCCAGGACCCCGGGAACATGACCTGAGCCAAAGGCAGATGCTCAACCACTGAGCCATCCAGGTGTCCCTAGGGAATGGTTTTCTTTATGCAAAACTGGTTCTATTACATGAAATATGAGGTTAAAACCAGTGAGAACCAGGAAAAGGTGTACATACATGTACGTATGGCATCTGTGTGTGTGTATGCATGTGCACGCATGTGTGTGGATGTATGTGTGTTTGAAGCCAGTGGTTTCAAACCTGTTATTTAAAATTCTGCAGTTTGGCTGTTAATGTATACAGTCACAGACCACAGTTGTTCCTAAATTTTGGAAGGCACATGTTTTACCGGCAAGGCTGGAAAGAATGTGTGATAAAAAATTTCAAGTTTCCACATTTCAACATATATGACAAATTCATGAAACTCAGGAACCAGAGGGAGGAGGTCATGTGACAAGTGGCCACCCAGGCCCTCCATTTACCTTAAAGCTCTCTTCTTCCTCCTGGTACACTGGACTCATGCTGGCTAGCATCGCAATAAACTCCACTGCCGTGAGCGGTTTATACGTTTGCTGCCGGATTCTGCGGTCTGTGAGCACACCTTTAACCACCTGGACTATGTGTCCTTGGGTGAAGCCATCGGTGACCTTTGCCAGGCAACTGATATTCAGGGCATTGGTAATGACGCCTCCATTGCGTTGGATGATCTGTTTCCACAAAACTGTTGTATCCAAGATGGTGAAAAAGACACAGAAAACAAGGGTCACCAGAGGGAAAGCGGTATGATCTAGTTCTTGGTACAAGGTTGCATCTCATCAAGAAAGGAACACACAGGAGGAACACTCCATTTTATTTGTAATTCAAATGAGCAGGAAGCCACATAGCTAAATACTTTTTTTTTTTCCCCTTGGAGTGATTTTCAACCATGAGACAAACATATCGATGGTCCTGAGGTCCTAGGCCCACAAAAGCAGGAAAAATGAAAGCAGGTTCAGTACAGTTTTAGTGTGATATCTTCAAAGTTGTTCAAAATCTTTCAAAATTGGAAATTCAGATAGGGTATACACGGGAGGGTATATACTCTGTGCATCAGAATATTGTATTTTTCTGAGTGTATGAGTAAGAATTTGACTTTCTTTTTTAGTTACAAAGTTTTGGTGCATTATTTTTGCACGTGGAATAGGAATGCAGATTCCAATTTCCATTCATCACCAGGGGGCTCAGGTCCCTGTGGGTACAATTTGACCCTTATTCCCCCAACAACTGTAAACAGCAGTTCACTGAGCCCCCCCTGGGTGGGTACACCCGTTGTCCTCTGGGTGAATGGGACCTGGGGTAACAGAGTGATTTCTCCTTAGAACACTGGGATGTCGTGAAAGTGAATTATGGAATTATTGAACTTGAGAGAGAGAGAGTGGACTCCCACCCAGCGTCTGAAATGATATGACACTCAGGCAGTTACCTCCATTCCAGAAAGGAGGGGAAGTACATGAGATTCACCGTGACTTGTTTTGTCATACCCAGACAGTGAGAAAGGTGAGGCATTGCCAAGGCCGCCTGTCTCAGAGCCATTCTGAGTGCTGGGAGGGTCTGGTCAAATGTCTCCCAAGCATTTTGACCTCCTTTGAGGAATATTTGAAATTTTTTTAAATGACCATTATTATATAATCTGAACACTGTCAGGTCTGTTAAATGCCTAGCTCACTCAAATACGTTGATCCAAAAAATATTTGATAAAATGAAACGGTCTGATTACAGCCCAGGGATAGCATGAGCTGCCATGTATCAATGAACCACACTGTCGAGTGGGATTTTTAGTCATGAGTCATTTTAACAATCCACCTCCACCATCCACTTTGGTGGTGATGGGAGGGGTGGTGGCCCTTGGCTTCATGGGGAGCTGGGCTGCTGGAAGGCGTGCACGTTCTCCGGGGGCCTTCTGTGTCTCTCAGCTGTGTGATGCTAGGTATCAAGGGCCACGTGGGCCACCCAACTGACCAAAGCACATCTAACCTCCTGGATCTACTCTGCTGCTTCCTTGGTGAGTCTGTTTGAACTTGAATCCATCTTAGGCTCACCTATAAAATGGGAATAGACAGATTCACTTCCCAGGCTGTGGTGAGAAATAAAGACGAGGGTGCACACGTAGGGCTTGGGACAGCCCTGTTCTAGCATATGGTGGGTGCGTTGTTTTCTGTAGCCGTGTTACTGTTGTTACTGTAATCATCATCAGTCATTCCACCTTGCACCAAGGTCTCCTAACGCTCATTAATGCCTAAACACAGAATATGTCAAAGGATCGTTGTGTAAAACAGATCGTAGCAGGTGAGGATCACCCCTACCTGGCTGTAACTGAGGAAGGGCTAGGAACTACAACGTACGGGAAAAATAAGAACTACGACCAGGTGGCATCATTCCTTGGGAGCTAGAGTGCCCCTGTCCAGATTTATAAGGTTAAAAAAAAACTGTGCTAACAGTATGAATGGTGACTCTGGAAGCCGAGAAGGGAGCGTGCTTTATGCTGAAGCATAGGGCACCACCCCTACAGCCGAGGACCCGGTCGATGTCCCCAGCTGGAGACTCGGACAGCGGCAGCCTTGTGCACCCCAGGCCAGCTTCTCACTGGTGACGTGGAGGGGACCCATCAGTAAGCAAATGGGGAAGGCAAGGCTCCCAGAGACCAACCCTCAGCTCCCATCCCTGCCTCCCTGCTAAACTACGGGAGCCCAGCCTTCCAGCTTCCCAGCACGAGGAGTGTCTCTACAAGTAAGGATTCTTTCAAAACAGAGCAAAAAACTACAGTTACTCTGGTCTAGCAAGTACACGTCAACATACTATTGACTCTTAAAATGTATGATATAATGCTGATGAAGAGTTTTCGCCAAGGGTCCTCAAAATACACAAATCATCGATTCCCCCCCCAAAGCTCCCCATTTGTTAATGGAGGGAAGCCCTGGAGACAGTCAGGGCTAAGGTGGGACTTGGCCTCTTGCCCACAGCTTTCTCAAGACCCAGAGAAGGGGACAGAGAATCATTTTGACTTCTCGTATTTAATGAACTAGACTTGCCTTTTAAAGAATAGCTTTGGCTGCTTCTACAAAGCCACCAGCTGAGGGGCTGGGAGGGGAGTCAGGTGCTGAGTGAGTCACAGCCTGGGGGGCTCATTGAGTTGGGACCCCCACAGTGAGCTCCGGAGCCACGGCTGCTGAGAGTCTTCGGCCCAGTGGTGCAGGTGGAGAGGACGAGAGCACCACCGACGAAGGGGTGGGGTGGGGAGGGCCGGATCAGCCAATGGAGCGTGCTGAAGGCAGCGGAGCGGCTCTCTAGATGAGTGCTGTGTTTTACCTTCCTTGTCTTGGATGCGAAGGCTCCTCACTTCTTCAGACGAATCTACATTCTCTTTTCCTTCTTTAGACTGAAAGAAGGGGTCTTTGGATCCCCTTCTCTGCTTTTGACGTTCCAAAATGATTCTGTCCTGGCTCCCAGCTGTGTTTTTGAGATGACGTAGTATCTCAAAAGTCATTTTTTTTATTCGTGATTTTATAAAAGCACAGGAAGTGATAATATGATTTAGATGAGCTTGTGGTCTCTGAGGACTAGAATTCCAGAAAAATCAGAAGACATGGACTGGGCTCATCCGACCAGACACTGGGTCTGGGGTGGGGGCCTATGATGAATTGGGTTATTAGTGAAACAGACCCCTGAGAAGAAAGGCGAGAGCAGGAAGCATTAGGAATATGGCGAGAGGAGGCCCAGAGGGATTTCTGGGGACCAGAAGAGGCATTAATCAACTTTGCGGGTGGATTTTCTGAAGGAAACAGCTTGATTTGGGGAAAGAAGGTAGCTATGGCATTCTACTTGGTAAACCTTAAGGACTGTGCTTCCTCAGTCTGACGCATCCTTCCCTTCTTGGCGCTGTTACTCCCCCCGCTGCCTGAGGAGTGGGATCGTGAATGTTCCCCGACACATTCGGCACCCTGGGGCTGGTAGATAGATGGCCAAGCAGAGGCCCAAGTTATGGATTTGCAGCCCATGCTTTATGGGCTGGAAGAGATCATCTTTGATCACTGCGAAGACAGGAACAGTCTTTCTTTAAAATGGATGTCCCAGCCACTGTGGCTATGAAAACTTCAAGGTCACTGGATGAAACGCTGGACAGCATTTATGATGTCAGCAAGAATGGCCACCTAAACAAATCACCCACCATGGAAGAAATATGTGAGAAGCATGTGGTTTAGTGGACAGAGCCCCGGGCCCAAGAGAACTCCTGTGTGTAGGTTTATCATCTGCCCACAGGTGAGAGGCTGCTTTCTCCTTCCTCCCCTGCGATGCCACCACGGGGAGATTCAGGTTGGAATTTGTAATGTGATCTGTGTCCTCACAGATGCCTCGCATTTATATATATATAAAAAAACCAAAACCCAACTGTCCTTGTTATATACATCAACAGCTTCATTTTTAAAAGGCCTATGGTTTTGTCAAACAATAGAAACTATTCAATCCAAAGTCAAGAATAATGGTCTGGTCCCTTAAAATGAATAACACCCTATCTTATTCCATTAAGGTAGCTTAAAGTACAGATCTGCAATAAATCCAACCCAACCCAAACCAAACCCTGGGATCGAGAGAGGAAATCTGACCAACAGGAATGAGAGCGGGAAAACCAAGAGTGTGGGATTCTCTGTGCAGACTCAGTGGGCAGAGACTGCTGGCGCCCACCTAGCAACATGTCGGACCCTTCTTTGGTGGGGCTGCACATCCCTGCTCCGTTGAACCTCAGTGAGGCTGTGGGAGTCCTTCTGGCTGATGCAACATGAATGAAACAACAGCTGGCCCTTCTGGGTCTTGTCCCTAAAATCTGTGAGAGACTCTCTACTGTCTTCTCTCTTTTCCTTTGATGCTGGCTGAATGCAAAGGACCCAGCAGAGGGCCTGGAGGCTCTGGGAGATGGAGAAGCCGCTAGAATGATGGAAAAATAATGGAGATCAAAGTCCTCCTGTTCTATGTGTAGAGCGTTGATTTGTGAAGCCAGGATCACGGTTTATCAAGACAGAAATGAGCTCCCACTGCACATGGGGTGGTTGGTAAGCTGGGAGCTTATGCCATGTGGGGGGTAGAGGGTTGTTCTTTAGCAGATAACATGGGCCAGAAGCTTAAGACCAACCAGAAAGCGTCACAGAGTCCCTCTGTTTTGGGGGTGCTATTGTGACTAGAGAAGGATGAATAGAAACCAAGTCTGACCTGGTCATCTTCGTTACTCTTATTAATGTTGACAACCACCGTAGGCTGTCTCACCTCTACCACTGCTCCATTCTGTCCACCATCCTGTCCATACCACCACTGCATCACTGCCACCACCACCACCACTGCCTCCCTAGTACCAGGCTGCCATCATCACCACCACTACCACCACCACCACCACCACCTATGTGACCACTTTCCTCTTCCCTAGTACCAGGTTGTCACCATCATCACTGCCATTTGTAACACCGACACCACCATCACCATCTCTATACCAAATCTGCTACTACCACTACCATCATCACCACCCCCATGAGAGGTAAAGACGACCCCTCAATGAGCTGCACTATAGTATTCTGATCCTTGTGTAGTCCACTGCCCTTGAATCTGGGCTGGCCTGGGACTTGCTCTTGACCAGTAGAGTTTGGTGAAAGGGACTTTGTGTGACTTCTGAGACTGGGTCACAAGAATCTTTCCAGCTTCTGCCAGAACCTCTTGCAAGGTTTGCTCTCAGGATGCTCTCCCGTGGGACCCAGCCACTGTGCTGTGCAAGGCCACATGGAAAGGTCAGGTGTAGGCTATCTGGTTGGCTGAGAGCTGAGGTCTCAGCATCAACTCCAGCCACAGGAGTGAACGACCACATAGGTCCAGCTCCGTCGAGTCTTCAGGTGAAGCCCAAACTGACACCTGACTGCGACATCTTGTGGTACTTCAAGGAGACCTTGCCAGCTGAGCCCATGAACCCTCCAAACCATGAGATGGAACCATTTGTTGTTTCAAGCCACTGGGATGGTTGGTTACACAGCAGTGGATCATAGGAACCACCACCGCACCACCACGGCCAGCTGCTGCCGGGTCACGCACTCCTTCTCCATCCCCATGGCCGCCATCTTGGCTTCCTCCCTGCCCAGCAGCACCCGGGCTCTTGTGGGAACCGGTCCGGTTCTGGGTGTTTGTGCTTTCCACTTCAGACAAGGGTCACAACAGCCCTGGGGACTTAACAGTCCTCTTCACAGAAGAAACAGCGCAGGCCAGCAGGTCAACTGAGCTGTCAAGGGCATCCAGTTATCCCGCGGCAGAGCCAGGATTCAGAAGCTCAGAGCTTGCATCTCATGGCTCTTTACGGTTTCACTGCACTGCCTCCAGGGTCACTTTTTTGGTATTATTCTCACTTAAAAATATGTTTCAAAAGAAGGAGATTTTGAATTTGTTCAAGAGGAAAAAAAACCGAAAAAGGAGGTCTTATCTTTAATGGTTATTTTAAGTAAGTCAACATGCTCCTAGACTAATACTTCGAGAATGGAAAGCTAAAAAAAAAAAAAAAAAAAAGAGAGAAAAGAAGAAAGAAAAAAAATCAACCAGTGGAAAGAATGATGCTCTCTGAGAAAGACACCGTCACCGTGGGTTCAAGACACCTCATCCTGATCCCCCCGTTGAAAGAAAAATTAGCACCTACAAGGACTTTTGTCATCTTCTGGGCCCCCAGTAATAATCCCTGTCCAGTTTCCTTTTGTTTTCGGTAAAAAGCACGATGTTAACAACAGAACGGACAAGCACATTTCGCCCCTACGACCTGGTGGTTTGTGTGTACGGCCCAGGCTCTGCCAATGTCCAGGAGCTCCCTCCAGTGCATGGGCTCTCCGCCTCCACCATCTTCTGGTGACGGCTGCTTTACCAGAGCCCCCACCCACCTCTGGTGTCACACGCCTGCAAGCCAACGCCACCCGGCCCACCCTGAGTCACCGCGCACAGGAAGGGGCTTAGGGGTACTTGCCGAATCTAGAAGCATAGTCTGGTCTGGGAACCAAAATAATTTTTTGGTAAACTTTGCAAAAAGATTGAAGCTCAGCATCGAAGGGGCGCTGGGTTGTCCCCACAATCAGAATCCTGTCGTCCGGTTTCAGGAGTCTCAGGATTTTTGGAAGCTGTTTTTTGAGGCGTTTCGGGTCCATCTGGGAGAAAGAGGGAGAGGGGGGAAAATGAGCCCACCTCCAAGGAAAAGGATTAAGGATGGAAGGACACTCACTCGTAGAATGCACGGTGGCTGGCGTTTGTTAGAGTGACCTCAAAGCTCTGGGAATCACGATTCTCAGAGTTCATCCTAGTCAGGGTGGCTTGAATTATAGGCTTTTCCTTTCCTCCACCTCTGGCATTCAGATTTGGAAAGGAGGAAGGAAGGAAGGAAGGAAGTACCTGAGTGATCTTTCTAGCACCTTGACGCTAGGAAGGGGAAGCAGGGTGGGTTTCCAGTGGAAGGGAGCTGGCCGGAGCGAGGCCTCTGAACTGTTCCAGGGTGAACCCAAGACAGCCTTTGCTGCCGGCCCTGCTGGTGAGCCTCCGAAGGTCTGGATCTCACGTCTCTGAAAAGCACTTGGTTACAAAAGAGTGTGACACTTCTCTCTGTGAAGCAGTTTGGAAAGAGTTTGAACCTCTATTATTTTAGCCAAGTCTCCGCGCGCTAATGATGGAGAGGAGCAAGATGCGAGGTACCCCAGGGAGGATGACTTCCAGCCTGCGGGGGTCAGATTTGGCCACGTTGCCATGGCAATGCACCAGCTTTCAATTAGCCTGCACTGGCACAGCCTCGTGAGGGGGAGGCGTGGGGAGGAGGAGGACACTTGGGGTGATGATAGAGAGAGCCTCCGCAGAGGAGCCCCGAGCGCAGCCTTGGCTGCTTTTGCTCTCACTTGGCTCGGGGGCGATTGAGCCAATTAGAATCTGAACGTTGAGCGGGAGGGAAAGAAGCCAGCCCGGCTTTCCTGGAGCAGAGCAGGTCCGAGCTCACCGTGAGTGCTCTGCAGAGACCAGCCCCTGCTGCCCGGCCCGGTGCCTCTGTGTGGCCCTGCACAGCCCAGCTAAGGGACAGCCCTGGAGGCAGGGAGGGCTGGTGACACCAGGGGTCAGGGGTGGGGTGGGGAGCAGGTGTTTGATGAATCCCATGCTCGGGAATAACAGTGAGTGGCAGGGTGTTGGAGCCACCGCTGGCGGGAGGGGTGACGGTGCTGCAGGCGGTTTGCAGAGCCTCTGGGACAAGGATGCCCGTGTGCTATGGAACCGTGTCCCACAGGAGGCCCCTGGTAGACCCAGCAGAGCTGGGAGTCAGGGCCGGGCCCACCAACTGCTCTGCACAGCAGAGGGGGACTTAGATGTGGCCAACCACCCTGGAGGGCAGGGGTGCCTGGGGGAGCTGCACATGGCTCTGAAGCCTAGGGGTGACCATTTCGCATCATGAGGCTGTTGGCCGTGTGTGCCCGCAGCAGTGCTTGGCATCCTTCTTTCTCTTTCCTGTTGACCAGTGAGAAGGCCCAGTTCCACGTGTATGTTGACAAGGTGCAGGAGGGAGGCCGGGTGGGAGAGGGCAGGAGCCCCGGGGCCCAGGGGCCGGTGGGAGGAAAGCCCGAGGGGAAGTTGCAGAAACGTGGGGACCTCTGGCCCCACCAAGGCAGGAGGCTGGGGGCTTCCACTGACGTCCAAGGACAAGGCAGGATGTTGACGCTGCATTTCCCACTTCTTATGTCCAGGCTGGTTATGCATCTTCTAGCTGGATAATCCTAGTAGCAGCAGCTGCTGAGGGTTTGCTGTGTTCCAGGTACTTCTGTCTCCACGACAGGGACCTCCCCAGGAGGGGACAGCCCTCCCCTCACTCACAGACGAGAATCTGAGGCCGAGAGAGGCTAAGTGACATCCCGAGTCCCAGAGTTAATAAGCAGGACCCTGACTCCCAGACTCTTGCTCCACTCTCTGCTCGGCTGGGGTCCCCTCCCTCCCGGAGGATATGTGCAGGGGGCTTGAGTGTCCCCCCAGCCCCCGTCCTGGGAAAGGGCCTATCCCGGTTGAGGGCTGCAAAGGAGGCTTACAATACATATTGATTATTATGATTTTGTGTTATGTCATATTTTATTATTAGATTTATATGATTGTGATATATCTGTATCAGTTTTATTGAAGGGGAGTTCACATACTATACAACTCATCTATTTAGATTGTACAATCGAGTGTTTTTTTTTTTTAAAGATTTTATTTATTTATTCATGAGAGACACACAGAGAGAGGCAGAGAGACACAGGCAGAGGGGGAAGCAGCTCCATGCAGGGAGCCCGACGTAGGACTCGATCCCGGGACCCCAGGATCAGGCCCTGGGCCGAAGGCAGGCACTCAACCCCTGAGTCACCCAGGAATCCCAATCAAGTGGTTTTTAGTATATTCGCAGAGTTGTGCAAACATCGCCTCACACTCAATCTTAGAACATTTTCATCACCCCCAGACGACTGTGCCCAGTAGCAGTCCCTGAATGGTACCCCCCAAACTCTTCCTCCAGACTTAGGCAACCAGTTGTCCACTTTCTGTCTCTACGGATTTGTATATTCTGGATATTCCATAGAAATGGGATTACCCAAAATGTGGTACACGTGTGTATGTACGTGTCTGTGGCTTCTTTCATTTCACATAGTATTTTTGGGGTTCACCCATGTTCATACTTCACTTTTCCTGCTGAATGATGGCCATTGTCCGGATAGGTCACGTTTTATGCATCCAGTCATCAGCTGATGGGCAGTTGGGTTGTCTCTACTTTTTGCCTGTTCTGAATAGTGCCACCGAACATTTCTCTTGGGCACACGCAGGGGAAATGAGTTGCTCAATCACATAGTTACTTTATGTTTAATCTTCTGAAGAAAAATGTCAGACTACCTTCCAAAGTGGCTGACGTTCACGTTTCCCTACATCTTGTGAACATTTGTTATTACGTGTGTTTCTTTTCTTTTAAAAAAGATTTATTTATTTTTTCATGAGAGACAGACAGAGAGAGAGAGAGAGAGAGAGAGAGAGGCAGATACACAGGCAGAGGGAGAAGTAGGATCCTCACAGGGAGCCCGTTGTGGGACTCAATCCCGGATCCCAGGATCACACCCTGAGCCGAAGGCAGATGCTCAACCGCTGAGCCACCTGGGCGTCCCCGTGCTTTTCTTTTCTCTTTCTTAAAAATATTTAGCTTTTGGTGTCATATCTAAGACATATTCTTTTGCCTTAAAGAAATTTAGCTACCCTAGTGGATATGAAGGGGTTTGATTTGTGTCCCTCTGATGGCCGATGAGGTTCAGTATCTTTTCACGTCTTTATCGGCCATTTGTGATCTTCTTTGGAAAAATGCATATTCAGATCCTTTGTCTATTTTTTTAATTGGGTCATTTGTCTTTTTATTATTGAGTTGTAGGAGTTCTTTATATGTTCTAGATACAAGTCCCTTATCGATCTATGATTTGCAAGTATTTTCTTCCATTCTATGGGTCATCTTTCCACTGTCTTGATGATGTCCTTTACAGCAAAGAAATTTTTAGTTTTTCTATGGTGCAACTTATTTTTTCTTTGTGTCATATCTAAGACATTCTTGCTTTATTTAAGGTCACAAAGATTTATGCTTCTATTTTCTTCTAAGGGTTTTAGAGTTTTAGCTCTTGTAGGTCTTTGGTGCCTTAGGGGTTGATTTTTGAATATTGTGTGACGTAGGGGCCCAAGTTTATTCTTTTGGAGGTGGCTATCCAATTGTCCCAGCATCATTTTTTGAAAATATTATATTGTCAAAAAGTCAATTGACGGTAAACGTAAGGGTTTATTTCTGGACTTTAATTCTATTCCGTTGATCTATATGTCTCTTCTTATGCCAGCACCACAATGTCCTGATTGCTGCAGCTTTGTGGTAAGTTCTGAGATTGGGAAGCTTAAGTACCTCGATTCTGTTCTTCTTTTTCAAGATTGTTTTGGCTCTTGAAGTTTCCTTGAATTTCTGTATGAATTTTAGGATCAGCTTGTCAATTTCTGCCAGTTAAGCCAGAGGGCAGTTTGATGGGAATTGCACTGAATCTGTAGGTCAGTTTGGGAATTCTTGCCATTTTAACAATATTAAGATACTTTCAAGATACTTGATGTATCTTTCCATTTATTTAGGTCTTTTTTTCAACGATGTTTCTGTATTTTTTGGAGTAGAAATCTTGTACTTCCTTTGTTAAATTTATTCCTATTTTTTTCAGTGTTATTATAAATGGTTGTTTAATTTTAATTTTTGATTTTTCATTGCAACTGTATAGAAATAAATTGCCTTTTGGTTATTGATCTTGTATTTTGCAACCTTGCTGAACTTGTTTATTAGTTCTAATGCTTTTTTAGTTGATTCCTTAGGATTTTCTGTACCTAAGATCATACCATCTGCAAATACAAATAGTTTTACTTCTTTTTTTCCAACATGGATACCTTATATTTCATTTTCCCCCTAATTATACCTCCAGTATAATGCTGGAGAGAAGAGGTGATGTTAAGGGAGAAGCATACTTTTTCAATAAGTATGATGTTAGCAGTGGACTTTTTTGTATTTGTCCCTTATCAGGTGGAGGAAGTTCCCTTCTCTTCCTATGTTTTTGAGTCTTTTATTATGAGAGGGTGTTGGATTTTGTCAATGCTTTTTCTGCATGTATTGAGATGATTTGGTTTTTGTCTTTTCTTCCAATGATATAGTAGTATATCACATTAATTGATTTTTGGATGTTAAACCCGGGGTAAATCCCACTTGGTCATGGTGTATAATCCTTTTTCTATGTTGTTGGATTCGGTTTAGAGAAGACTTATTATAATGTAATTCACAGCAGAGGGAGAGATGGAATTTTTACAGCAAAATAAATCCCGGAGGCTGGGCCTGAGGCCAGACCACCAGGCATCTTCCTATCATTTCTGCCTGCACCCACAGGAATGTGGAGCCTGCTCCAGCTCCACCAGGAGGAAGCAATGGCCCTGCATGATTCCACCCAGGAGAACAGAGGAGCTTAAAAGAGGGGAAAGCACAGGAGAGGGATGATAGAATGAGAGTTCCTGGAATCCTAGAAACAGATAGCTCTGACAATGAGGATGAAGACCTGCTCATGAAAGGGCTGCTCCTTTAATCCCCACCCTAAGTCTTTATAGA